CCTCTTGTATTTTAAATGTTGACCTTTACTACTACCAAAACAGCTGTTGCCAAGATAGGCATTTCAATACTCTCTGGGCCGTTCCTGCAGTTATCCTCTACTTCTTGCTTCCTAGAGCATCAGCTATACTACAGCATGATCTGAGACTCTCTGAAGCTTTCAGGTGTGTACACACACACAGAGATACTATTCAAGACCTTCTGCTCCTTCTGCTTGAATTACTTTTTGCTGGATTTGGTGTGTAATTTGCCTACACTGGAAAATCAAATTGATGAAAATATCTTTAAAGGTTTACCTTTTTATTTTTGTATAAGTAAAAACCACATAATAAATCAAACTTTGTAATCACGAACACTACAGAAATACAGGAGTACTTGCTGCTTTCTCGTCTGAAGTCAGTCAGAACTGTATGTAAGTAATTTGAAGTCATAAATAATAAATAACTGGACATAAACTGTGAGAAGCTCTGGTCATCCCTATCTCAGAACAGATATCCTAGAACTAGACAGGATTCAGGGAAATCAGCAGGTTGGAGTGAGATTATATAGACAAAAACTTTTCAGTTAGGAAAAGAAGGGACTAAGTAGGAAATGTGTTAGAGGTGTGTAAAACAGTGAATATCTTTGAGAAGTAATGGTAATGGTTATTCATTTTCTTATAGCAGAAATACTATAGATATTTAAATAAACGGCAGCAGGTTTGACACAGAAATTAATTACTTGACACAGAAGGTATAATTATGCCTTATATATCACACAGGATGCTCTGGATGTCAAAATACCCTGATAGGTTCAAAAAGTGATTATCACAGTTTATAGAAGAAACTTTGGTTAAAGTATGTAAAATACAAAGACGCAGTTATAACTTTCAGCACAGAATGTATTTCAGTAGCAGAGTGCAAGGTGACAGAACAGTACGATAGGGGAATTATCACTCTAAATTCCCCTTATTCTTATATACTTTCCCTTATCTGGCCACTCTTGAAAACAGGATACTGAGGTCAAGGGACTGAGAACTGCTTTTTTTCTGTTTCATCAATTGTTTTTTCTTTATCATGTCTGGGACATACTTCTTCCTGCCATGCTTGCATAAAGACAGAGGGAAAAATGTGCATGCTAGATAGCTTGTTGAAAATATACAGAAAAAAGTTCCACTTTGCTTATTCATTACTTTCTGACACACCTAAAGAAAAATTATAATACAGAGATACCCAAGTTCTTCAGAAAGAAATCATAGACTCATAGAATAGTTTGGGTTGGAAGGGACCTTAAAGATCATCTAGTTCCAACCCCCCTGCCATGGGCAGGGACATCTTCCACTAGACCAGGTTCCTCAAAGCCCCATCCGACCTGTCCTTGGACACTTCCAGGGATGGGGCACCCACAACTTCTCTGGACAACCTGTTCCAATGCCTCACCACCCTCGTAGTGAAGAATTTCTTCCTTATATCTAATCTAAACCTACCCTCTTTCAGTTTAAAGCCATTACCCCTTGTCCTATCACTACATGCCCTTGTAAAAAGTCCCTCTCCAGCTTTCTTGTAGACCCCCTTCAGGTACTGGAACGCTGCTATAAAATCTCCCCGGAGCCTTCCCTTCTGCAGGCTGAACAACCCCAACTCTCTCAGCCTGTCTTCATAGGAGAGGTGCTCCGGCCCTCTGATCATCTTTGTGGCCCTCCTCTGGATTCGCTACAAGAGGTGCATGTCCCTCTTATGTTGGTCAAAATGTCAGTTTTGAACTTCTATCTACTATCTGCTATAGTAGATACGGACTCTTGTCCTTTTTAAAGCTTAAAGTTTTGTGTTCATTAAGGTTATTTATATTTGCACTGTTACAGATACTTTATCTTCTGGTAGTATTACAGTTTAACTACTGAAAATCTCCCATTTTTTTAGGCTCTATATAAGGATAAAGTTCCTGTCCCTTCTGTAAAGAGATAGGCAATCTGTCAATTCATAGGTGGGAAAATGCTGCCTGAAACCAACATTCACTCCTACACTAGCAAGCAGTAACTAGTTTAACCGATATGGTTGAACTAGCTTAACTACTGCATGTTGATTCCAAATACCAAGTGCTCACGCAGCAATAGTTATTCTATAGTTCATTGGTGATACAAATATAGCAAAAATCTCTATATAGGGCACAATTCCATTGAATTAACTAGAGCACATGTAGTGCCTATGCCAGCTGATACTAGCTACATTGCCTTTAGGACCCAAGTCTGCACTACAGCTCTTTCGAGCTCCTGCCAGTTCCCAGTGCAATACTGATGCTACTGTGCTGTGGGACATTGTAAATTTAGTATAACAGGAGCATAATGTCAGCAGAGCTACAGCAACTTAAATTCATGCCTTAACATATCTTGCTTTATGTGATTAAATTGTTGAAGAGATAGTAAGGCAAACATCAGGTGAAAAGCATAAAGTACAGAGGTAGGATCTAAACAAGTTTTGATGGTGTCATGTTAAAGGTGTGTGCCTGTGTGTTTCATTAAAAATTTTCAGTGGAGTTTCCTTCCTAGTGGAATGATTAAACAGAATATCACAGAATCACAGAATGGTTGAGGTGGGAGGGACTTCCGGAGGTCATCTGGTTCCACAACCCTGCTCAAGCAGAGCCACCTAGAGCAGGTTGCCCAGGACCATGTCCAGACAGCTTTTGGATATCTCCAAGGAGGCAGGCTCCACAACCTACCTGATCAACCTGTGCCAGTGCTCAGTCACCCTCACAGTGAAACAGTATTTCCTGACGTTGGGAAGGAACCTCCTGTGTTTCAGTTTGTGCCCATTGTCTCTGGTCCTGTCACTGGGCACCACTGAAAATAGCCTGGCTCCATCTTCTTTACACCCCACCTTCAGGTATTCATATGCTTGATAACATACACATTGATGAGATCCCCCCTGAACCTTCTCTCGTCCAGGCTGATCGGTTCCAGCTCTCTCAGCCTTTCCTCATAAGTGAGACGCGCCCATCCCTTTAGGCATCTTTGTGACCCTTCATTGGACTCTCTCCAGTGTGTCCATGTCTCTCCTGTACTGGGGAGCCCAGAACTGGACACAGCACTCCAGGTGTGGCCTCACCAGTGCTGAGTAGAGGGGAAGAATCACCTCCCTCAACCTGCTGGCAATACTTTGCCTAATGCAGCTCAGGATACCATCGGCCTTCCTTGCCGCCAGGACACATTGCTGGCTCGTGTTCAACTTGGTGTCCACCAGGACACCCAGGTCCTTTTCTGCAAAGCTGCTTTCCAGCTGGGTGGCTCCCAGTATATATTGGTGCATGAAGCCCACAGGTGAAGCATTCAGGGGTGGAGATATTGGCAGGATAGTGTCAAGCTGGATCAGAAAGAAGGGAGGTGGCCTGTGGCAGACAGAAGTGGATGGTTGAGCACTGTCGGGGGAGACCATCTAAGCGCAGACCATGGGAAGCACTTTAATGCCATCCTGTATCAGTAACCACCAAAGCCGCTCAAACTGTATTTGGCAAAAGCTAGATATGTGACAGGAAAGATGAACTAATCCACATAGGCAAGGTGCTCATAGAGCTGTAGAGCATTTTGCAGTAGAAACTGATAAATATGAGAAACAAAACAAACTCCAACTCAACTGAAAGTTTTGAAATCCTTCATTTCTGAGGTCTAATGCTTGGGCTAAAGACTACTGCTTTAAAGTGAGTTACTTTTATAAGAGTCACCAGCCCTAGGCATGCTTTACAGCATTTTTTAAAGTAATTGATAATTTTGCAATTATATTAAACACAAAAAAACTGAAGTTCATGCTCATTAGCTCTAAATAGTCAAAGATATTTATACACGCATGTCTTGAATTATCATGTACTGATAAGGAAATGAAACACCTGAATAAAGATGTATTACCATGTATTACCATCGACACTGCTTTGATGTAAGTAGAACTTACATCTTAGAACACAAAAGCATATGAAGAGCTGGAATTCCTCTTTTCAAAAAACAGTAAAACAGTTTAAAATTAAAATACTTTCTCATAACCTATTGTCTTTTTCCATACCTCATTTTATGCAAAGAATTATCAAGGTCTTTAACTTCTGAGACTCTAAAAATAATTATACTTAGAGAAACAGAGAGAAGGCTTATTTTATCCACTATACTTTGTACCTTTTTGCCTTAGATAATTAGGGACATTAGTTCATGATTTGCAATACCTAGGGAATACTGTCATTAGCAGGGGAATGTTCTCTGGTACCCTGAGGAAATGTAAAGCTTTTAAGAGCAATCACTGTTAATCACTAACATGCCAACATTATATACCTTCTGGTACTGAGGATGATATATAGACAGGACACATTAAGTAACTCTCTATTTTACTTGCATTGTAGGCTTTCGATAAAAATGTAGTTTTAAAACATCCATTGCATGGCTTGTTTTCATTACAAAATACATGATAGCTAAAAATTCTGTAGGATTTACACTTCTTCTTGTACAAGCTATTGAAAATATTGTCTCTGATTCCATAGTTGAGCTTCATTGTGCTTTTAGCATTATTATACTTTGTTACACAACTTTACTTGAGTGGTAAATGCCAAGGGCAAGAAGGCGGCCCTTTTGTAAGGGTGAAAGAAAAACTAAATCAAAAGGTGATAAATGCAATTAAATTTATCTTTACCTCCAGCTCAGCAGGAGACTAAGCACCTGCACAGTTGCAGTACTCACAACTGAGTACACAGATTAACATTACACACTCATTATTTGCAAGCAATTGCTATTATTCAAGTTTTTTTAATATCAAATATTTTCTATCTGATGTTAATTGCACATAATATCCTATAGAAATGTTAATCACATAAAAGATAGTAGATTAAAACAGAGAGAAAAAGGCTATTTTTTTAAGAAAGCAGCTTTTTTTTTTGTATACTATTAATAAAATCAGGGGCAGCTCTTACTTTTGGTATAGAGCCAGAATTTAATAATACTTAGTAAAATCTTTTTGTGTCTTATTTCTCTGCTGTACTAACCATGGGTACCTTACATGCCAGCACCAAGCCCAGCACCACAGGACAGCAAATACACACTGGAAAAGGAGGCAGACTGCACTGGGGTCTTCAGCAGGGATCCCCGCCAACTAAAAACATTGGACGTGCCGATAGAGCACATACATCAGCAAAAAAAAATCACAAATAATGACTCCCAGTAAAAGGATCTGACAAGTTTATATACTTGGGGAGCTAGGAAGGACTGAAGAATTCATCTACTGCTGTCCACCTAACAAAAAATTCCTCTAGTGCAATTTATGCGAATTACTTCTTGTAATAGCTACTGTGAACACAAAAATCAAAATCCTTTTTCTCAGTGACCAAATTCTCCAGGACTTACATTCTCTCCCATTATTTCATCTTTAGACAAACAACTCCAACACAATTTTCAATCTGTCCTTGAACAAAGTCCTACTATACTAAGTTATAATTATTCTCTTCTGGATGCTTTCTAATTTGTCTGCATCTCTTGGTCGTTAAACAGCCCAATTGTTGCAGAGTGATTATTTCCTCACCTGACCAGACACGCAGTATTTAGCTACTGAATCCTATGAGCTTCATTGCCAGTCATTCTTATATTGGTGAGACTGCAGTGCCCTATCCTGTAAACTGATGGTAAATTCAAAAAGGAAGTGCTTACGTTCTTGAAACCTCTATATAAGATCTGAAGTTCCTTCTTTGTGAATTTACTCTGTGCTTCCAGCAGTTCAAGAGCTTCAGGTCTATGTCGTACTGTGGCCATTTCCATTTCATCTTCTACAGTGTCTGCAGAATACAAGAGACAGAGAAGGAAAGCTCAACAGGAAATATAGGATGTAGAAATATCTAAGCCTTGCAGAAAAAAAGAAAGTTAAATGACATTCTTTTAAAGAACGGCTTTTGCAACTTTAAAGACAAATGACATGTTCATTTTGAACTCACAGGGAAAGGGTATCTGTCTGCTTCAGTGGCTGCACAGAACATGGAACAGCAGTGATGATCCAGCAGTCTGGATATTATCACATCAGTACAGACAGCAATAAACTGGGAAGCCAACATTCTGCAAGGGCATGCATGACACATTCAGAATTACTTTTCTGTTTCTATGACACTCTGAGCAAAGAAAACAATTTTATAAAACTTTAGTGGCTCCGGAATACTGGAAATTTTCCCTTGGTTAGTTAATGGATGTGAATTCACTGTATCAGACTGGTATTCTCAGTGTTCTCCGTCCACCATGAAGTTGTGCTTTGGAAAGTGTGTGAGATTGATGCTGCATATTCAACAGTACACCTTACTTTGAGTACTGTATAAAACTCTTCAGAGCAACATGATTATTCACGGTGAGCAGCCTAAGTGGGGAACACGAGTATTTTGTTGACCTCATCATTAGGTGAATAAGAATGTGGATATACACATTCAGGGCTTAAAGCTGAGTGCAGCCCTAAAAGAATGCGAGATAGCAATGCATTTTTTCCAGGTAGAGTTTTAAATGTGAAAATGCAATAAAATAGTTAGAGAAACTTACAGTATGTATTTTTTATATGGGGTGCCAGCCGTATACCTGATCAAAAACATGAATGTGTGCATCTGTTTTTAAGTACTCCCAGCATTAAACATAGCTTATGTAGTACTCCAGACTAATTTAATCAAATCACTGCCTTATTCTGGTTTAAGAGTTATACCAACTATAGAAATGTAACTTGAGAGAAAACAAACATGCATAGTTGTCACTTCTACAATGCTGAAGATAGATATCTTATTTCATCAGTGTGGGACTCTGCATTCTTAAAATAATGTTTTATTCAGTTCAATTTTCATAAGGGCACAATATTAGGATACTCCATTAAAACAGTATTATGCTTATATCTTCACATATTTTTTTTCTGCTACAGTGCAGTAATAATAACTTTCAGCTCCTTGGGAGAAATCTGGCATCAGAAGATATAGTTAATCTAAACAAAAAATGAACAACCTTTAAATAGATATAATCATAATATATAAACTATTTGGATAAATCTTCACAAAATTGTAGGGCCTTGTCTTTTCTCCTGTCAAAGAGATGTTGCTGTTAGCACTTATCTCAGGAAGATGATCTCAGTGTCACCCAGATGATCTCAATGTCACCCACAGTCTTATCTCAGAATGTCTATTGTGTTTTGGCTTATGGACAAAACATAATATGTTTCTCTTTCATTTTTCTTTATAGATTATCTCATATGACTCGTAGACCACTACCATGTTTCTGAAAACTTCCAATCTAAATGCTATTGACAAAAGCCGCAACTGACACAACTTTACATTGACCTTATGGTATTTGATAATAGTTTTAAAAGGCCAGTATCTGAACTCACGTTACAAGAAAATTTCATCTCTTTTCTTTAAAAAGACACTCTGAGGTGTAAAGAGGAAGTCTTGAAAACCCTTGAAATTGGAATAAAGTAGTTCCAGAGTTGAGAAGCTGTCTTCCTAATCGATCAAAGGTGTAGCAAAGTTCTTGAGTCCCATTTTAATTCTGCATAAGAACATCCAGGGTTTATTTTGCACAGTGGCTAAAGCCTTTCCATCACGTTTTAAGGGATTAAACTTTTATATTCTCTATATAGTCACTAAAATCTCTACAACAATGTCATGCTGTAGACATGCAGCTGAATTTTTTTTGTCAACTGCAGGTCAATACTAGGTGCTTATACTAAATTGACAAAAGAATCAACCTGAGAATAAATATTGTTGAAAAGTCACTTGTGTTTTATATGCCAAGAGCTATTGTTTAGACAGAAAGGGACTTAACTGGAAATGAGCTCTCTAAGCATCCATTTGTGAAACATTTGGCTACCTAGAGAGACATCTACAAGCTTTTCTAGAAGCTAAATGAATATATATAATAAATGTGAGGCTAGAGATAAAGGCCAGACAATGTGATGCTAAGCACCATGTTCGGTATATCCTTAGTAATAAACATTTTTATTGTGTTTTAATGATTCAGTGAGAATGTAGAAGGCTGCAGTGTGGTGATGATGTTGTCTTTCCGTTAATGAAAAGGTTCGGTATAACAGTCTTTTCACACTCTATTTCTGTAGTCTTTCATAGATATAAATAATCAAAAAATAAGATCACCGTAAACTTCCTTATAATGTGCCAACTATGCTGATTAAAATACTACAACATTCATGAGTCACTTGTAGGTTTTTAATTTTTTTCTTCACACTTATGGCTAGTTATCCAGGCTGGAAAAAAAAATCTATACTTTAAAATATGCAGTGAAAATGTGTGAAAATATATCTATTTCTAAACATGAATTATTTCTATGGTATTAATGAAAAATTAGTTATTTCAGGTCTCTAGTTTCTTCAGCCTAAGAAAGTTAAGGTTTGTTTATTTTTTTTAATAAAAGTCTAACACATGCCAACTGAAAACCAGAAACAAGTTCATATTCACTCATTAATATATTAAAATATTCTTACCGATTTCATTAATGAGTAGCTTTCTTCTAGCTAAATAGTAAAGACCGTTTTTAATGTGTTTGCCACAGGAGCTATGCTTTGGACCTTTCGTTGTTCATTAAAGAAGAAAATGGTAAAAGCAATGCAAAAAGCAGATACTCTCTCCTAATAATGGCAGTTGGAGAAGCATGCCCAAAGTTAGGGCTCAGTTTGTATCTGTAAAAATTGTGCACATGCATTTGCTTGCACAAACCCCAAATTATAGCCCCCGTATCTATTTAATAACTGTGTGCACACATGCTTTTCGTTTCCAAAACCATTCTTGAGTCTACTCCTATCTCTAGCACATGCATTTAAACATTTAGCTAAGGAAGCATGGATTTAAGTTTAGGCTTACTAGGCTGAAGCACACAAATATGAAAAAGCATTCTCTGACATCCTTTTTTCAATGGGAATGCTGAAATAAGATTTTATTTATTCAAGTAACCTTTTTCTGCACATATTGATAGAAGTTAAGCACAGAAGTGCAAATTCAGGCTATGTATATTTCAACAAATTACTTATTTAAAAAATATTCCCCTTAAAATTTCTAAGGAGTTCACATTACGTGGTTGTTATTGTAGGCAGTTCTGGCTTCATTCCTAGTACATTACAATGTTGCTTCTTTCATGCTAGCAGAAATCAAACAGCACACTCTGTCAAAATGGGATAATAACAATGTATGTCTACAATTATATTCTTACTTAATATAATATTTTCATTTAATATATTAATTCTTACCTAATATAACTTTTCATTATTGACGAGAGTACAGAGAAAAATGCTGAATGCATCTTTTTTTACTATTTGGTTCTCAAATACAAAATATTTAATGCAAGTTTTATATTTACATCTCTTCTGGTTTATAAAACAAACAATTTCAGCAAGAAAATAGAAGTTTTGCATGGTCAAGGTTATTAAGATTGACTCTAAATATTTTTGTGTTACCTGTGCAGACAAAAAGCTTGCATAGAAATGTGCAAGAAATAGGGACAAGCTGGTCTCCAACCAACTTCAAACAAACAGATCAAACCTTCTATTCCTTCTATCCTATTTCCTTTTTCTGTTCTATGCCCCATCATTGGAAGTGTGCAAGGGCAGGCTGGATGGGGCTTTGAGCAACCTGATCTAGTAAAAGATGTCCCTGCCCATGGCAGAGGGGTTCAACTAGATGATTTTAAAGGTCTTTTCCAACTCAAACCATTCTGTGATTCTATGATTTCTTTTATAATCTAAGACTATATTACTCAAGTCACGTAGCCGAAAGCAACTTTTACATAATGAACTATCAGGTAACACGACAGTAACTGGCCTTTTTAAGCTACCCTATTTTCAAGTAAAACACATCAGCTGAAGCCACCATGAAAAAGTCACTGTGCATCCACATCTTTAGTCTTTTTCATCTGCAAGATCTCAAATACTTAGAAAGGAAAGCAAGTTCCGCAGTCTTCTCTATAGAGGAGCATATGAAAGACAGTGAAGTGGGGTAGCAAAAAGAAAGCCTAGATCCATACCACTGAAGTCTAGGCACTTAATAGTGGCCTGTGTTCGTAACAAAGTTGCCTTGGGTTGTCCTATAATCACTGGACATAAGGAACTGTTCTTGGAGGCTTTTCTTTTACCTTAGATTGATCGATCTGCTTTATCAGAAGAGTATAGAGGAAGCACAGGGACCACTCAGCTTCTTATTTTAGGTGCTCAGATTAGTGCCTAGAATTAAGCCAAATTAATCTAGACTGAATTGGGTCCACAGGCATATTTTAAAATCAGCTGTAGTAGCCAATTTATATAGGAAGACATTAGTGTTATTCTATAATTAATCTCTGTCTAGGTGTATATATATGTAAGTATACATCTATGTATGGATCTTCCTCCCTCCCTCCCTCCCTCCCGCTATTTTTATCTGTTAGCTACCCTGGAGAGATTTTATTTCCTCACAGCATATCAAGACATTAAAGGTAGTGTCAGTGTGCTTTTCCGTTATCTCTACATTCACATACTTTTTTTTCAATCTCATTATTATTTTTCTTTCAGACACATACTTTAGGTCTCATTCCCTAAATTGTTTGATGTTACATAGTCAAAACCTGTAGGGCCAAGCCTTTCTTCCCAGACCAGTACTGCTGATACTATCCTATATATTGGATAGCAAGAACACGCAGACACGTGCACACATGTAAACAAAAAAATACCACTTGTCAAATACATTGAGAGCAGGTATTTAATTTAACCAGTGAGTCATTTCTCAGCTAGCTTGCAGAGCGTAAGTGCCAACCCAGCAGCTCCTATGCGGCAGACCCTGGCACCGGTATCTTGCCATCTTGCCCTGCACCAACAGAACTGTTACCAGCCCACAGATCTGTTCATCACTTCCTTTTAAACCTCACTAGAGCATACGATTACTTCAGCAGATATCTTGTCTCTCAAATGAGCAGTTAATGAAAGTATAACTTTTGATGCATGCAAACCTAAAAAAAAAATCAAATGAAAAATAAAACTTGCTTTGAGTAACAGGAGATGTCGTTTTGGCAGCCGAGCAGGGCAAGAGCTTCATAAGTCGCTCTTTAATGCTGCGTTTGGTACTGTTCTGAGCGTAGAGGAAACCTAAAAAATATATTATCAGGACTGTTAACATAGGCTTGAGAACAATTTCTGTACATGCTGCAGAGTTCATCATTATAGCAGAATCCTGATGGGAAAAGGCCAAACAGATGGCAGCCATTCTGAATTGCAAAGGACAACCAGAATTTTTGAACAGGACAACAAAACGGTTTTGTTTTTGTATCTTTCCAATAAAGCGGATTTTTTTGTGTATGTGCATCTTTTGTAAAGTTCTTATAACCCACTTTAAAACATCTAACAGAGAAGTATCAGATTATGTATTTGAAAAAAACACAAGGTAAGAGTATTTTTAAAAATTTTAATGCTAAAATATTTTGAAGAGTTTTAAGTCTATTTGATTTTGAAGTTTCATATGGAAAACAAAACCAAAACCAAATAAAATCTCAAAAATATCTTTTGTTGTCCTTTCTGGCAGTCTTCTAGTTCCATGGCTGAGCTTTCCCATATAATTCATTCAGCAATTGTGATAACCAACCTGGTACTTTTGCCTTTTCTGAATATTAAAATATCAACAATGGTGTGTAGCCAGTCTCCCTTTTCTTTAATATTTGGCATTCTACATATATATATAAAAATAAGTATTATTTATATTTTCATCTTTAAATACTGACGTGGCTGAATAGTTAATGTTCATGTGCCATAAAGCAGGTGAAGAGCATTACCCTTATTTACTGTGAAGGAAATTGTCAGAGTAACTGCCTGTGAGGTCTAACTAACCATTTTATACAAAATGGGTGATATGAGCAAGCATCTCCTGGATGGATATTTGCTGCAAGTGACAGACTTAACATCTGAAAAACAGTTGAGTAAATGATTTATGTTCCTGAGAAAGGTAGAGCTCGGTTTGGACATTATGCAGCTCCTGTACTTTTCATCTTGACTGCACAGTCACCAGGATAATCCTGGGTTATCCCTGCTACAGCACTTGTGCTGAATACTGGTGCTAGTGAGATGGTGTAGAATAGTTTCCTCTCTGCCACCAGACAGAGTGGGAACATCCCACCTGTAACACTAAGTGGAGCTTGTAGGCAATCTTGAAAAAGTATATCCTTGTATTTGGGAACAGAAGGAGAAAGTGAGAAGGCTTTAAGGGTACTAAACTTTGTAAATGAAAGAAAAAATATTTCTCAGTTTACATATGGATAAAACATTGAAGGAAATGAAATTAAAGAAATGGGGAAAACCAGGAAAGACTCAATCACAGCCTTAAAAAATCAACCAACTATTACCAATCAAATTCTGCCTGTGAGAGAACAGCAGCTCTGGTGAATGGATGAAAAAATCCAGCTTCAGCACAAGGTCAGATGGACCTAAATGACCATCTCTGGAAATGTCAAAACCTTTTAATACAAATAATAAGAATAAATACACTTATTATCTGTAGCACATAACCACCAGCTCAACTCAGAAACACTGTGCAGATAAATACATAAAATAAAAGACAATCTGTGATCTGATGGGTATCTCAAACTCCATATTTTTAGGCTGAGTACAAAAACTGAGCCTTTAAATGGATACCTTCTGGTCTGAGCTGGCAGTGTCTGCAGTGTCACACTATGCCTATACTGTAGGTATCTGAACACAAAGGAAATTTGTTTATCTTAAAGGTTTTTTTCTTTATTAGGAATTAGACATGATCTAGAAATATCTACTTCTAGCTTGTTAATTTGAGTTAAGGTTTGCAAAGCTTTACTGTCCATGTATTACATAATTACATGGGTCCACAGCCTATGTAATTACTGAAGATGTATACAGTGCTTTGCAAAACCTAAAGGGACGTATTATTTCCAAAGGGTTTGAAGTTCAAAGCCTTGAGTAAGCAAACAATTTTGCTACTTTTATGCTCACACAAAAGCTCATGGAATTCAGTGCAAACCATATGGGCTTTGCAATGGTATGATCAAGGTCAAAAATAAAATGAAATACATGGGAGAAAGTAATATCAGAGGAGTAACTTAGGAGAACAGTACAATTTTTGCACTAACTTCTGGCCAGTAATTTAAAATGTTGACACTAGGATCAGGGCAGAGGTGAAGGAATTGGTTTATCTTCTCGGTATGAGGGAGCAGCACAGAAGCTTTTCGCTCCCAGTGGCTGCAGTCCTTTTATTCTGCAGCTGTTGCAGTCCACTGTCATGACCTCCTGATCAGTACTACAGCTTTCAATGTTATTTTTCATGAGTAAAGGACTACTTAATACAGAGAAAACATGTTGCACACTGGGCCTATGCTGAGTCAGTGTTTAATACATGTTGAAACACTAGAAGTGTAAATTAAGAAGAAATACTGTAATAATTTCTGTGAATTCTGTAGCTATTTGCCCAGTTTGAGGAAAAAGCTATGGCCATTAAGAAGCTAATTAATCTAAGATAGATTAAAATTTATTTATTACATAGTAAGAAATTCTTACCGTATTCTCAGTTTGCATACGGATAAAACATTGAAGGAAATGTTTTCATGAAAAGATGAAGAGCCGTGAAGCACCAACACCCTGATAATGATGGACTGATGCTGTTTCCTTCAAACTTCTAGAATAGGTCAATAGTAATTCTTAGCCTGCAAATGGATATTCAGAAGCAGCTGAATTTTCCAAACTCTTCTTGGGTTTTGGGGTTTTTTTTAATAAGTGGTTGACTAGAGATTTCATATCCCTCACCCAATCAGCCACAGACTCCTCTGGGCTAAATGTGAAGGTTCTTCAAATTCAGGTTAGTTAACTGGTGCTGCTTGCTCTTTGGTTTGATAATTTATTCCTCTGCAATGAAAATTAAACTGAGAGACACACTTTTCCCCAGAATTCACTGTGGGAGTGCCCTAGAATTCATCTCCATACGACACCACGTGGAATTGTGGGCAGTTGTCCCAAGGGGTGCTCACGCTTCACAAAATGTTTTGTAACTGGAGCATGGCTTACATATTCTCGTATATAGGTACTGCTGTACTGATATATGTGCTGCATATAGATATTGGGCATACTAGACATCCTTTACGAGTGACTGATATTTAGCATGATTTATATCTGTAGTTGCAACTGATAAATGCACTAATGGCTTAAACCTCTGATTTACAGATATTTAAACTAGAGAACTATAACTCTACAATTTTATTAATAGAAGTTTAACATGGAGAATACTATGCATACACATAGTCAGTATAATTGGTTTTTTAATTGCTATTTTTAAAAATCATATTTGGCCAAAAGCATCCGGATCATTGTTCTGTGTGTGATCTAGTCACTCCAATATCATAACGTTGACAGGCTGATGTAGATGTGACACTACTGGTTACCAAAAATACACAAAGAAGCACAAAAATTTTTAAAAGATAAGGAAAAACGATGCATTAGAATATAAAAATTATTATTTATAAATTATAAGTTAAAAGTGATTTATAAATGACCATATATTCCTAATCATATACATCTACACCTAGACTATCTTAACTCTTTACATACTTACTTTTTTCAGATGTATGATCCCTGCTTTACATATCGCCCTGTTGTTAGAGGGACAGGTGAGACTACCCCAGGAAAGACTATTAAGCCAAGGGATTTTTGGAGGAGTTTTCAGAGGCAAAATACGTCTCTCTCTAAGTGTGATTGTTTTCTTTGCAAATTCTTTGTAGTCAGCATGAAAGCAAGGGCAGGTAGGCCACTTTTTGCTGGTGTAGCAGATAAATCAGAGAGTCTGTCTTGCATCCCCACTAAGTGCACAAAGTGGACTGTGCTGTGGCTGCCCTTGCTCCCAAAGTCTTGCCCACCTTTCCTGCCTGCAGCAAATGTCCTGTGTTCAAAGAAGCACTCTCCTGCCTTGCCTCCAGCCTCATTGCTGATTTTTTATAATGGGATTTGGGTGACAAATGTCAGCCTAAAAGGCACACTCATCTGAGTACTTAAAAGAGCAGGTAACCATCCTATTTAATAGGAAGTTCAAAAACTAGAAACAATTCTCCCAACAAATTCTTCGTTCACTGTCAGTGAAAAAGAAAAGTCACCTGTAAAACTACCTCTTTTTTTCCCACTCTTTTTGCCTCTATGTTTTTTTATTTTTGTTTACCCTTTTCTTTCTCAAAGTTTCACCCCTTTATTTGGCAAAGACAGCAGATGGGCTTCCACTGTTTAAGTCTCACTCCAGTTTTTACTGAGCAGTATTACCATCCACTGGCCACATCCACTGCCTTGGCAGTACAGCTAAGCTAAGCTGGAATTTGGATTTTGTTCACTTATGGGATTTTAAGTCTTCCCATGAAAATGGGAAAAATGCCTATGTTGTATTAGTTCTGAATGTGATCTTTTTGGAAGAGGGTTAGTATGAGACCCGAAAGACAAGCTGCACAGGTCATTTTCCTAAATCTAATTTTTTGGTAGGAAGTGACAAAGATACTGAAAACCAAAAAAAGAAATGCACGAAGTGTTTTCTTGGCATAATGGTTTACGCTCAATTTCAGCTGTATGATGGAATTTCTCCCAGGGCCTTAAGGGCTGGCAGCCCCACTAAACTGTTAATGGTTCAGGACAGATGGAGAGGCAAGGGAGCCAAAATGAAGTGCAGATTTCATATTCACAGTTCAGGACTTGTGGGAGAGAGCCAAATCAGAGTACATGTTCCTTCTGTGTAGTGAGTCTGGGAATGAAATAAAATTATGTACAACATAAATATTTATAAATCTCAGCCTCGGTTCTTTGGAAACACCTGCCGAGGAACTGTGTGGGTTGTCAGTAGGCTACTCTACAGATCATCAGCATTTTTGCCAACCAGGAAAACATTCTTGCCAATCTCATTTGTCTGTACATATGTATTTTTAGTGATTCTTCCTCTACAGCCCCTAATTTTCTGTTTTTCATCACAAAATACACCTATCAGTTTCATGGGCTACTAAAGCCCTATAAACCACATCAGATCTGCTACAAGGAGAAACCATCAAGTTGAAAAAATGGATGGCAGCATTTTAGGGACTACTTTGAAATACACATTCA